TCAGGTGGCAATCGCAGTTTTGAGTGGGCTTGGGCGAACTGGGTTTGCACCAACCCAGGCTCATCTCTACTTACCAGGATGATCCAACCATGCTGTGGCCCCTGGAAAATCCAGCGGTGGAAGGGTGGAAGACTGTCTATCGTTGCTTACTCTAAGACCCAACAAAATGGTGATGGTACCATTAGCATAGAGGGCACTGTAGCGTGCATCCATGCATAAACAAGTTTATGTTTGACTGGACATTTAAAGTAACTTTTTAACCTATAGAAAATGTGTAAAAACCCAGTAAATGGTGTCACAGTTCAGGTACACATTTCTTATTGATTTCATTTAGCCTGGCTAATGGAAGACATGGAAGTCTATGACAGCTTTTTCCATAGTGATCATTGAAAGTTCTCATGTCTTATAACATAATAATCAGCCATCTGTCAGACATGTCTACCACTCACAAGCTTGAGGAATGGCACTGAAATTTCTTGGGGTAGAGTCAGGAATCGTTAAATGCGCTATCATTTTTGGCCATCTCTGTCCTGTAGACACAACAGGAAGTGAGAAGGAAGCTCTCCAAAGTGAGTAAATTGCCACTAGAGCATGCATAACTATTGGAAGATTTCCCCTCTGTTCCTGTCTTGGTGACTATATTTTTTTTATTTTCCTTCACTTTCACTCCGAGTGACTGTGGTCACCAGGTTAGATAGAAAGGATAAATCTACCTTAAATCTAATAATCTAACACCTCACCATTCTCTCCAAAACTAAAAAGAAACGTTTTCCGTTTTATATACACTTTGAAACAAGTTTTGCCGCTGGGTATACAATCATATAATAGAATCCATTCATTCAGTAACATCCATATGCTGTTTTTGAGCTCATAAAATAATGTCCAATGTTTGATCTGTTTTTCTCTGTCTAGGATTCTCAGAGCAAGCAAGGAGGGTACAGCATGCACCAGCTGCAGGGTAACAAGGAGTATGGCAGTGAGAAAAAAGGATATCTGCTGAAGAAGAGTGATGGGTATGTTGTGAATCGTTTAACTTATCATTTAGAAGATATAGAAGCGGCATTATAGTACCATTTGTAATATTACTACACTTCTTCCATTGTCAAGTGATATTGAGAACACTGCCCATATGCATGTCAAGTGATAATGTGACCACTGCCCATATGCATGTCAAGTGATAATGTGGCCACTGGCAATATGCATGTCAATTGATAATGTGGCCACTGGCAATATGCATGTCAAGTGATAATGTGGCCACTGGCTATATGCATGTCAATATTACGGGTCTGAACATAGCCCTGATATTTCCCTTTTGAAAAAGAGTTTGAGAACAGAGAAATCTCTTTTTTGCAGCCCCTTTTATGAATGAATAGGAAGCCTCTATACTGAGATTTCCTGTCCATTCAAAAACTGTGGAGATAGTATCAGTTACTATGTCCACAATCACGAATGAACAGGAAGTGATGTAGGACATCAGTGCTGAAACCTGCTCTTCAACCTGTGTGGGCTCAGTCTTCTGTGACAGTGCTCTCCTCCTGAAAGAGGGGACACAGAGGGGAGGAGAAAAACCAGAGATGCACTGCATTTTTAGCCAAAAAATTGTACTTTCGGGATTTTCTGTACCAAATTGAGCAAAGGAACTGCTCGAGGAGCAGAAGGGCAGCCAACAGAATAGTGCAACAATTGCCCAGCATAAAAAAAACCAAAACCTGTGTGATTTTCTTACAACAAGCTGGTCTTCACCATTATAATTACTATGGGAGTAGCTTGTTGCAGAAAATCAATCAATCGCAAAGATTGTGAGTAGTTGAAGCTGATGGACATGAGTCTTGTTTTTACCTAGCTGCTTCTGCTACTGTATAACAGCGTAATATTTTTGTTTTTAGATTAAGAAAAGTTTGGCAGCGAAGAAAGTGTACAGTAAAGAACGGAATCCTGACCATATCGCACGCCACTGTAAGTTGTTTGAGCTCCTTCATTCCTGCGTACAGATCTAAGGATGATCGTCCTTAGATCTTCTGTGGTAGGTTACATATTTGAACATTTCGGTAGCTATACAGGACTGGTAGCCCGGTGCTGTAGCACAGCAGAATACCAAAGTTCCCTAAACTAAATAAAAGCTACATGTTATATTCTCACCATCCTAATACTTGAACTCCATGCAGATATATACGACACAACACAACAAAGATGTGCTGGCATAGCATGAATCCACATTTCTTTCAAATAACAAAACTGCCAACTAAGAATGTACTTGGGTAGATGGGTTTAGTAAGTTTATTACCAGCCGAAAAGACCACGCTTTTACCAGCTGAGGCACACCACAATCTGATATGGTCTGGGAGGCATGGAGATCCCTGTGCTGTAGGTGAGAATAAGAGGTTGACAGACTCACTTCATCGATTCAGGGCATTGCCTCTCTATTAGTTGGTGGAAGAATTGAGACAATGCATCTTATTCTTTGGTGAGTGTAGACACAACCACACAACCATAGGACGAATTTATAATCACCGCGCAGATAGTATCCCTAGTGGGAGTTGAAACACATGACATACATACTGCAAGGCATCCGCGCTAACCAATGAAGCACCGCGCTGGCCATTTGACAACTCCGTGGGATGGTGTCGTCAGTGGAAAAAGTCTCTTCCTTCCTGTTTTTGCCATTACTACAAAATACATCTGCTGATATACCCATATCACATGCTCTGATGAAAATATATTTACTTGATGAAGCAGAATCTCCTTGCCATCACAGATCAGCAGCTGACAGGAGTTGGCAGACAGTTTAAAGCTGACAACAATTAGCCAGACAAGTCGGCCTACCAATACATTCTGTCTAAGCAGCTGCTCGCACAGATAACATGCGACAAGGTCCTGAAGGAGCCTGTTACGCCTGGCTTTTGTCTGGTGTCATTATAATGTTCTCGGCAGCGATTTAGTGGCAGCGCAGACTCTCACATACTCGGGGGAGGGGGGGTTGTGAAATTACGTTTTCTAACACTTATTTGCAATTTGCACTTGCTGCTACGCCTGCAACACTTGACGTAATGACCTATGTGTAAGATACAAGAATCTGTGACAATGCTCATTTGTCTGCTGCTGTTATATGCAGTCTGGGACTTCCCAGCATCTGTTCAACTACAAGTCCCGTGATCCCTCCGAAAGATGGTAACTTGCCAGGAATTGTGCAGCCGATAGTTTAAAGAAGAAGTGTAACATCGTCTTTCTACAATTGTTATATTAATAAATTGTCACTTATCCTTCTTTACCTTTTTCTAGGAACTTTTTGTGCTGTTTTAAGTCAAACTTCCTGCCAGCTGAATAGCAGCTTAGAAGAAAATAGTGCATTGGAATTTGCAAATAAAACTTTCATTAAATCGCTCAGAGATGATAAGTCATCAGGTAACAGTCTTGTGGCTGCTTTGCTGCACTGATTTACAAGCCCCTGTTTAAAGTAAATGCTCTTTGGAAAGGTTCTCTTTATCGCAGAAAATAAAACTATTATAAAAAGCAGTCTGAAAAAGCGGTCATAGTCCCACTACCGGTATCCCCATTCTTGCAGCGCTACACTGACTGAAATCAGCATCCTACACTTCCAAGTGTATCACCTTGTCCTCTGCCACATGCTGGTGTAGTTGCAGCTGGTGTAGGCATCCAGCACATCACTGTTGTTGGATTTTGATGATTCCAGCAGCCAGTGTAGTTGTACAAGTGTAAAGTCGATTTAAGACAAATTTTAATGCGCATAGTTCTGCAACGCATATGAACCCATCCGTGTTGTAGATTGCAATTTACTGAAATCGATTACTTTAGGTTTCTACAGTTTGCCGTAGTTGTGTGTTTTTCTGAACATGTTTTCAGCCGTCTCTGTACTATATCTTTTTCTACTGCAGCGTTTTATGCTTGTTCACTCCTCCTTTTACACATTAATTTTGTTTTCTTTAATCACTCAGTGTTCCACACAAAGCCTGCCATTAACTATGCATTAACGACACGCCGCGATAATAGACTTTAACACACAATTATGGTAACAGCCAGGCTCCTTAACCAATAGGTGATTTTTCTTTCCAGTGTTTAAACAAGTACCTGTCAAACCACGAGCTGCAAGCAAATAGAAAATGAATCGGCAAATAATTCAGTCTCAGTGCCTCTTTTACCTAGTTAAACTGTGAGCTGAAACAATGTTCAGTGAATGCGTGCACTGTGGTAGAGTAATGCGGGCTTATAGCATCAATAGAAAATAGTCTTAACCACATCATTACCCTGAGATCTTAAAAGTAAAAATAGATTTCCCAAATACTCATCTTTCTTCATTGAATCCAACTAATCACCTTCTACAGCAGTGGACAATATCATTAATGTTGAAGTGTCTGTCATGTGATGCCAGCAAGGGGCAATCATCTTTAGGCATAGCGACTGATTCTACCTAAATGTTATTCCCCCAAATCTAATTGGCAGACACCATGTGACCAGCATGGGGTTTGTAACATAAATAATATAGAACAATTTTCTTGTAACTTCAGTTTTAGGCCTGTACAATAAATTTAAAGTAAAACTCCAGTTTTAAAAACATTTATAGTTATATCGGTCCGTCTTGGCACAATGTAAATATATATATAAACCCTGGCAGGGCCACTGGGATTCTGTAATGCACTGTAGGAGTATGTTGCAGGATATCGATATGATGATGATGAGAAAGATCGGGAGAGAGAAAGATCGGGAGAGAGAAAGATCGGGAGAGCGAAAGATCGGGAGAGCGAAAGATCGGGAGAGAGAAAGATCGGGAGAGAGAAAGATCGGGAGAGCGAAAGATCGGGAGAGCGAAAGATCGGGAGAGCGAAAGATCGGGAGAGCGAAAGATCGGGAGAGCGAAAGATCGGGAGAGCGAAAGATCGGGAGAGCGAAAGATCGGGAGAGCGAAAGATCGGGAGAGCGAAAGATCGGGAGAGCGAAAGATCGGGAGAGCGAAAGATCGGGAGAGCGAAAGATCGGGAGAGCGAAAGATCGGGAGAGCGAAAGATCGGGAGAGCGAAAGATCGGGAGAGCGAAAGATCGGGAGAGCGAAAGATCGGGAGAGAGAAAGATCGGGAGAGAGAAGGAGAGAGAAAGATCGGGAGAGAGAGAGAGAAAGATCGGGAGAGGGAGAGAGAAAGATCGGGAGAGGGAGATAGAAAGATCGGGAGAGGGAGAGAGAGAGATCGGGAGAGGGAGAGAGAAAGATCGGGAGAGGGAGAGAGAAGGAGAGAGAAAGATCGGGAGAGAGAAGGAGAGAGAAAGATCGGGAGAGAGAGAGAGAAAGATCGGGAGAGGGAGAGAGAAAGAGAGGGAGAGAGAAAGAGCGGGAGAGGGAGAGAGAAAGATCGGGAGAGGGAGAGCGAAAGATTGGGAGAGGGAGAGCGAAAGATTGGGAGAGGGAGAGCGAAAGATTGGGAGAGGGAGAGCGAAAGATTGGGAGAGGGAGAGCGAAAGATTGGGAGAGGGAGAGCGAAAGATTGGGAGAGGGAGAGCGAAAGATTGGGAGAGGGAGAGCGAAAGATTGGGAGAGGGAGAGCGAAAGATTGGGAGAGGGAGAGCGAAAGATTGGGAGAGGGAGAGCGAAAGATTGGGAGAGGGAGAGCGAAAGATTGGGAGAGGGAGAGCGAAAGATTGGGAGAGGGAGAGCGAAAGATTGGGAGAGGGAGAGCGAAAGATTGGGAGAGGGAGAGCGAAAGATTGGGAGAGGGAGAGCGAAAGATTGGGAGAGGGAGAGCGAAAGATTGGGAGAGGGAGAGCGAAAGATTGGGAGAGGGAGAGCGAAAGATTGGGAGAGGGAGAGCGAAAGATTGGGAGAGGGAGAGCGAAAGATTGGGAGAGGGAGAGCGAAAGATTGGGAGAGGGAGAGCGAAAGATTGGGAGAGGGAGAGCGAAAGATTGGGAGAGGGAGAGCGAAAGATTGGGAGAGGGAGAGCGAAAGATTGGGAGAGGGAGAGCGAAAGATTGGGAGAGGGAGAGCGAAAGATTGGGAGAGGGAGAGCGAAAGATTGGGAGAGGGAGAGCGAAAGATTGGGAGAGGGAGAGCGAAAGATTGGGAGAGGGAGAGCGAAAGATTGGGAGAGGGAGAGCGAAAGATTGGGAGAGGGAGAGCGAAAGATTGGGAGAGGGAGAGCGAAAGATTGGGAGAGGGAGAGCGAAAGATTGGGAGAGGGAGAGCGAAAGATTGGGAGAGGGAGAGCGAAAGATTGGGAGAGGGAGAGCGAAAGATTGGGAGAGGGAGAGCGAAAGATTGGGAGAGGGAGAGCGAAAGATTGGGAGAGGGAGAGCGAAAGATTGGGAGAGGGAGAGCGAAAGATTGGGAGAGGGAGAGCGAAAGATTGGGAGAGGGAGAGCGAAAGATTGGGAGAGGGAGAGCGAAAGATTGGGAGAGGGAGAGCGAAAGATTGGGAGAGGGAGAGCGAAAGATTGGGAGAGGGAGAGCGAAAGATTGGGAGAGGGAGAGCGAAAGATTGGGAGAGGGAGAGCGAAAGATTGGGAGAGGGAGAGCGAAAGATTGGGAGAGGGAGAGCGAAAGATTGGGAGAGGGAGAGCGAAAGATTGGGAGAGGGAGAGCGAAAGATTGGGAGAGGGAGAGCGAAAGATTGGGAGAGGGAGAGCGAAAGATTGGGAGAGGGAGAGCGAAAGATTGGGAGAGGGAGAGCGAAAGATTGGGAGAGGGAGAGCGAAAGATTGGGAGAGGGAGAGCGAAAGATTGGGAGAGGGAGAGCGAAAGATTGGGAGAGGGAGAGCGAAAGATTGGGAGAGGGAGAGCGAAAGATTGGGAGAGGGAGAGCGAAAGATTGGGAGAGGGAGAGCGAAAGATTGGGAGAGGGAGAGCGAAAGATTGGGAGAGGGAGAGCGAAAGATTGGGAGAGGGAGAGCGAAAGATTGGGAGAGGGAGAGCGAAAGATTGGGAGAGGGAGAGCGAAAGATTGGGAGAGGGAGAGCGAAAGATTGGGAGAGGGAGAGCGAAAGATTGGGAGAGGGAGAGCGAAAGATTGGGAGAGGGAGAGCGAAAGATTGGGAGAGGGAGAGCGAAAGATTGGGAGAGGGAGAGCGAAAGATTGGGAGAGGGAGAGCGAAAGATTGGGAGAGGGAGAGCGAAAGATTGGGAGAGGGAGAGCGAAAGATTGGGAGAGGGAGAGCGAAAGATTGGGAGAGGGAGAGCGAAAGATTGGGAGAGGGAGAGCGAAAGATTGGGAGAGGGAGAGCGAAAGATTGGGAGAGGGAGAGCGAAAGATTGGGAGAGGGAGAGCGAAAGATTGGGAGAGGGAGAGCGAAAGATTGGGAGAGGGAGAGCGAAAGATTGGGAGAGGGAGAGCGAAAGATTGGGAGAGGGAGAGCGAAAGATTGGGAGAGGGAGAGCGAAAGATTGGGAGAGGGAGAGCGAAAGATTGGGAGAGGGAGAGCGAAAGATTGGGAGAGGGAGAGCGAAAGATTGGGAGAGGGAGAGCGAAAGATTGGGAGAGGGAGAGCGAAAGATTGGGAGAGGGAGAGCGAAAGATTGGGAGAGGGAGAGCGAAAGATTGGGAGAGGGAGAGCGAAAGATTGGGAGAGGGAGAGAGAAAGATCGGGAGAGGGAGAGAGAAAGAGAGGGAGAGAGAAAGATCGGGAGAGAGAAAGATCGGGAGAGAGAAAGATCGAGAGAGGGAGGGAGAAAGAGAGGGAGAGAGAAAGATCGGGAGAAGGAGAGAGAAAGATCGGGAGAGGGAGAGAGAAAGATTGGGAGAGGGAGAGAGAAAGATTGGGAGAAGGAGAGAGAAATATCGGGAGAGGGAGAGAGAAAGATCGGGAGAGGGAGAGCGAAAGATTGGGAGAGGGAGAGCGAAAGATTGGGAGAGGGAGAGAGAAAGATCGGGAGAGGGAGAGAGAAAGATTGGGAGAAGGAGAGAGAAATATCGGGAGAGGGAGAGAGAAAGATCGGGAGAGAGAGAGAGTAAGATCGGGAGAGGGAGTTAGAAAGATCGGGAGAGGGAGAGAGAAGGAGAGGGAGAGAGAAAGAGCGGGAGAGAGAGAGAGTAAGATCGGGAGAGGGAGTTAGAAAGATCGGGAGAGGGAGAGAGAAGGAGAGGGAGAGAGAAAGAGCGGGAGAGAGAGAGAGTAAGATCGGGAGAGGGAGTTAGAAAGATCGGGAGAGGGAGAGAGAAGGAGAGGGAGAGAGAAAGAGCGGGAGAGAGAGAGAGTAAGATCGGGAGAGGGAGTTAGAAAGATCGGGAGAGGGAGAGAGAAGGAGAGGGAGAGAGAAAGAGCGGGAGAGAGAGAGAGTAAGATCGGGAGAGGGAGTTAGAAAGATCGGGAGAGGGAGAGAGAAGGAGAGGGAGAGAGAAAGAGCGGGAGAGAGAGAGAGTAAGATCGGGAGAGGGAGTTAGAAAGATCGGGAGAGGGAGAGAGAAGGAGAGGGAGAGAGAAAGAGCGGGAGAGAGAGAGAGTAAGATCGGGAGAGGGAGTTAGAAAGATCGGGAGAGGGAGAGAGAAGGAGAGGGAGAGAGAAAGAGCGGGAGAGAGAGAGAGTAAGATCGGGAGAGGGAGTTAGAAAGATCGGGAGAGGGAGAGAGAAGGAGAGGGAGAGAGAAAGAGCGGGAGAGAGAGAGAGTAAGATCGGGAGAGGGAGTTAGAAAGATCGGGAGAGGGAGAGAGAAGGAGAGGGAGAGAGAAAGAGCGGGAGAGAGAGAGAGTAAGATCGGGAGAGGGAGTTAGAAAGATCGGGAGAGGGAGAGAGAAGGAGAGGGAGAGAGAAAGAGCGGGAGAGAGAGAGAGTAAGATCGGGAGAGGGAGTTAGAAAGATCGGGAGAGGGAGAGAGAAGGAGAGGGAGAGAGAAAGAGCGGGAGAGAGAGAGAGTAAGATCGGGAGAGGGAGTTAGAAAGATCGGGAGAGGGAGAGAGAAGGAGAGGGAGAGAGAAAGAGCGGGAGAGAGAGAGAGTAAGATCGGGAGAGGGAGTTAGAAAGATCGGGAGAGGGAGAGAGAAGGAGAGGGAGAGAGAAAGAGCGGGAGAGAGAGAGAGTAAGATCGGGAGAGGGAGTTAGAAAGATCGGGAGAGGGAGAGAGAAGGAGAGGGAGAGAGAAAGAGATCGAGCGAGGGAGAGAGAAAGAGATCGAGCGAGAGAGAGATCAAGACACTCCAGGTGAACTTATCTGTCATTGATTACACACACTTGTGCGTTTCTGTCATGATTTGCAGTGACATGTTTGTCTCCAGACTGTGGTCTGGCTCAGGCAAGCTTCCATTTTTTCCCTAGGGTCATTATAGTGAATAACATGATGAACCAGTGCACCATAGCACCACACCACCATAGGTTTACACCAGTGATCTCCAAACTGCAATCCATGGGCCAGAAGTAGCCCTTTGCTTGCCTTTAAGCATCCCTTGGGGCACTATTGTTCTCGCTGACAAAGATAATGGGGTACTATTCCTCTGACTGCCACCAGTGACGGGTCACTATTCCTCACAGTGATGCCAACAATCGAGTCGCTATTCCTCACAGTGATACCAACCACAAGGCACTATCCTTCCTACTAATACCATCAATGGTGCACTATTCTTCCCACAGATTCTGTTGATGAGGCACTATTCTTCCCACAGATTCTGTTGATGAGGCACTATTCTTCCCACAGATTCTGTTGATGAGGCACTATTCTTCCCACAGATTCTGTTGATGAGGCACTATTCTTCCCACAGATTCTGTTGATGGGGCACTATTCTTCCCACAGATTCTGTTGATGAGGCACTATTCTTCCCACAGATTCTGTTGATGGGGCACTATTCTTCCCACAGATTCTGTTGATGGGGCACTATT